TTCTTTGCTGTCAGAGTGAGAAGTCAGTGACACACCTGCCACCCAACCATTTCTGTTCTTACAACTAATTAGACTATTTACTAAGGTCCAGTGTAAGTGATCTTACCAGCTAATCTACCACATGAAATGAGATTATAAATATTTTAGTCTCATTTTAAGTACATTATCTATGTCAGAAATACATGCTGTTTTAATAGAAAAACAAAAAGAATGCAGTGATGAGTTGGATGTTTTTCTCAACATAATCATTACGGCTAAGGTTTTCATATAGACCATCGAATGGAACAATTCAAGGTCAGACATATAATCAGATAAGACCAGGCCTCTGATCCCCAGCTCCGCTTCATAATTAATCCTGTAGCCAAAGAATGCATGAGGATTCTTTAGAGTCTAAGTAGAGTAAACCTGTGTAGGTTGTTTATTTCATTCCTTTTTTTAAATCCTCAGGTGCATATGCCTGGACTTTTAAAAGCAGCTGGGATTATACCAATTCAGTGTTGCAGACTTTGCCATTTTACCACCCACTGAATTCCTGGAAGCACTTTGCCACACCCACACTGGGTAAAGATGTACAAAATTATAGTGGTCAAAAAAATCTTATTTTGTAAAAATAGGTTGATATTATAAAGGAGATCTGGATCCCTAATCATCCATAGCTCCTGAAGAATAGTAATGCACACAGACAACCCCTCCCCCCCCACTGTGGTACAAATGACATTATTTGTGAAGTAGTATTTTATGAAGATTTGCTTGAAAATAAGTTGCATCTTATAAGCCATAATTCCTTTTTTAAAAAAATTCTTTCATATTCACTGTTTCTGATTTTGTGATCTTATTTTGTTTTTTAGATTCTTAAAAAGATGAATTACAAGGACATTTAAACACTGGTCCAATATATTTCAGTATATAGTTGTTCTTATGCATTCTACCAAAGTACTCTTTCATTTTAAAATTTAATGAGTATTTTATTTGAGTATCACATCTTGCTCTCAGGAAGAAGCAATGCCAAGCACAGGTTCCTGAAGCAATTGCTAGTATGTGGTTTATATAACATAGTTGACAAGGAGCTCTGTGATTTTTTTCTAACCTACGTGGGCTTATCTCCCCCCCCCAACCTTTTTTTTTTTTTTTTTTTTGTCGGTCGTGGGGCTTGAACTCTGGGCCTGGGTGCTGTCCCTCAGCTCTTCAGCTCAAGGCGAGCGCTCTACCACTTGAGCTACAGCGCCACTTCCGGTTTTCTGGTGGTTTATTGGAGATAGGAGTCTCATGGTCTCTCCTGCCCGGGCTGGCTTTGAACCGCGATCCTCAGATCTCAGCCTCCTGAGTAGCTAGGATTACAGGCGTGAGCCACCAGCGCCCGGCCTTCCCCCCCCAACCTTTTTAATAGTTGACTTGCATCTTTTGAATGGATGATGAAAGAGGGAAAGAATGATTCATCATTAGCTTAGAGCCATAACCTCATAAATTTTCTTCTCTTTGACTAACTAATCATCATCATTACTAATTATGATGAAAATAAACTGGAATGTAATACAAGCTGGCTTACCATAGAACACATCGGAGTATAAATCAAAGAGGTTGCTGTCAAATTGGCTTTAGGGTTGAACACTGAAAAATAGAAACTGTTTTCCCTTTTCTGCTTCTGTGTTCAGCTCATATTGTAAGGCCTAGAATTTATTTGGATAGAGTTGGAAATTGAGTAGCCTAATCTCATTTTAAGGGAGCTTAACACAAAATTAAGTGAACATTACTTTGGACACAAATGGCTGGATAAAATTGCATGCTAGTTTTGTTGGGAGGGGGGGAAAAAAAGATGGTGTGGCAGGGCTTGGAGCAGAGCCAGGAAGAATTCTTGCATTCTCTGGTCAAAATGGCAGCTCTGTGATAATCAGGAAGCGCGGCTGGGCACTCTGCCTGGGCAAATTATACTTTGCATGTTGTGAATAGTGAGTGAACGCACTTGACCTTCAGTACAGTGCCACCATCCCTGCTGGGACCATGAGGCAGCAGGCTCAAACAAGTTAAGTGACTTGATCTGATGTCATAGCTAGTTAGTGAGTAGAGAGGCCACAGCTCTAGTGTTTCTCACTTGTGCTACATTGCTTCCCAGGCCCGTGTTTAGAAGATAAGGTCTATGGTATGGAAAGTAGGTGAATCAATAACTTGGTGGTCATTGTTTCGATACTGGTATCACAAAACATTTTTGTCCCCAAGGTTGAGAGCTTTTGACTTGGGGGCCATTGGTAAGGAAAGTTCTCTTTTACAGTATCCTGTCATTGTTTTACTACTGCCCTCAAACTGATACTGTTACCACAACTCAATCTTCTTACATGATCCATCTTCCTATATTCAGATTCACATCTCACTAGGATACTAGGGCCTGATTTTCTGTGAGTTTAACACTAAGGACAGATAAACCCAAGATAATGCCAACAAACTTCATGACCTCTCCCTCTCCCTCCCTCTCCCTCTCCCTCCCTCCCTCCCACCCTCTCTCTCTCTCTTTCTCTCTCTCTCTCTCCCTCTGTCTTATTGTCTCTCCCTCTCTCTCCTCTCTCCTTCCCTCCTCTTTAAGAAAACAAATTCATTACCATAGATACAGTTTGAAGAGTTGTTACCAACATTGATCTGGCTGCTTGCCATAAGAAAAGCCAATAATTGGTGGGCTGAAAGTCAGTTGTATTCAGGGGCAAGCATCCTGCAAAGATTTCAAGCTAGATCTTGGTAGCTGGATGAAGGACTTTCACAGAGTGCTAAAGGCGCACCCTGGCTGAGCAGTTTCATCATCCAAGGCTTGTGTCTCCTTTTCTCTCCTTTGTCAGATGCCTCCATCTCCTGGGACCAGTATCTATGGTTCTTTAAACATTTTAGACACATTATTTTCCTCCAAATAAATAACAAACAACAGCAATGAACGTGCTTTGTGTTAGTTGATACCCAGAAGAACTAAAGAATGTGTCATATTTTGATGTAATCTTTATGCCACTAGATGTTGTGGTTTCTGAAAATCTCAAGATATCCCAGTAGTTTTCATCTGCATCATTTACATGTGGCTACCCTACAGAGTTCAGGATATTGAGCCTTGAAGGGGTCGTGGCCTTGCCAGGGACCATCCACAGGAGCGGCCACTATAAGGTAATGGGTCTCCTTTCCACTTTGGTCCCTGCAGGCCACTCTCCTCTCCTTTCGGTCTGGCTCTGGCTGCTGCTTCTCCCCCATGGGTGTCACCTTAATCATGTCCAGTGTTGACTTTTCAATGTCAGCCCCACATTTTCTAGCTTCTCTCGATTCTTCCTGTATAACTTAACTTTTTCCCAACACCTGCATGGAATATAGCCTAAGCAGAACTTTGTGGCCTCTGATCGCGATTTCTCTCAGTGATGCTGTGGTCTTATCAAGACTTAACTTGGATTCCATCTACTTTATGACCTCATTCAATGCATTGCCTGGTCTGAGCTACTCTTATTATAAGAGACTGTAACACTTCCTGTCACTCCCATATGCCTGCTTCCAGCCACTCTTCATCTCTTATCTGATATTATAGTAGCCTGCAAACAGGTCTTTGTAACCTGTCCCAGATGAATCATTCTACCTTTAATGTTTGATGTTTTCCCATTGCCAACTATAAACGCCAAGTTAACCAGACACTAGGTTTGAACCACAGTCCTAGTCTGTGGCTTGAGCCTGATGGAGCACATTTCTCTCTCCCTATGGGATCTGTTGTCCTGGCGGGGCCTAGAATGAGTGCATACAGATTCTGTAAGTGCCATCTATGTCAATGATAGAAGTTTAAGAGCTAAGGATATAAAATTCTTTAAATTCTATAAGGAAGCCAGTTGCTGGTGGCTCACACATGTTATCCTAGCTACTCAGAAGGCTGAGATCTTAGGATCTCAGTTCAAAGCCAGCCTGGGCAGAAAGGTACACAAGATTCTTATCTAATTAATCACCAAAAAGAAAAGGTCAGAAGTGTAGTAGTGGCTCAAGTGGTAGAGTACTAGCCTTGAGCAAAAGAGTTCAAGGACAGTGCTTATGGACTTAGATTTCAAGCCCTGGGACTGGCACCAAATAAAAAATATCTATAAGCAGACATCTATAAGTCATTCTAGGATTAGGGGAAAAATTCTAGTTGATGTCTCATGTAGAAGAGAGAAATAATTAGAAATAATTTGGTAATGGTTGACTTCCTTTTCTCTTCTCATACTGATTTCTTCACTGGAAAACAGCTTGACCTCTAATTCCTGTCTGTGGTCCAGAGTACTTGCCTAGCATGTGTGAGGCGCTGAAATGGTTCTTGACACAAGCCTAAATAGTAATAATACAAGAACTGACTGAGAAATATTTGTGGTTTGTGTGCCTTTGTTTGACCTTTACTGTCTGAAGGTACATTGCTGTTCCATTTTTCTGATTGCTTCTGATGAGGTGATGAGAATTAAACAGGTGGTGAGAATTATCAGATGGTTCAAATGCTTAATAAGCATTATCTTGGTTCAAATGATTTGGTGGCAAGGATTAAAAAGATGGGCTTCTTCCAGCAGAGTCATGTTAATAACCTTTGAGAAAGGAGCTTTCCTGGCCCATAGCAGCAGGCTGGTTACATGCTGCACGCGGAGATTGCCTGAATCTGGCAGCTATTATTTACAGGAGGGTGAGTAGGAACGGATCGAGAGAGCCAGAGGACTTCATAGGAAATACCACAGACATATGGGAAAAGGGAATTTCTCTAGTGTGTTTTAGGACAACCCAGGTTCCAATGCAGTACACAAAAGAGAAACGACAGACTATTGTCTCTACCTGTTGATGGAATCCATTTCTTTAGAAAATTTTGTCGTGCTTCCTTAAGGAAGCTGGGAACATTACAGAAATCCCACAGCCTCATTTCTATGCTTTTGACCCAAGATCAATACTTTTGAACTAGGCTATAAATCCTTGAACTATACACACCTCACACCTTCTCTGAATGAGTTAAATCATTCTGTTTGTGTCACTTGTCTCCTCAGAAATGAATGCACGCGTCAACGCCAAAGGCCTGCAAGCTCCGTGATTCCCCTTGGTGACCTGGGAAGGACAAGGTGGTGACCACTGAAAACCAGCTCCTCCTCCTCCTTCCTGTGGGCCCCACCCTTCCTACTCACGGACCACCATGGAGACCCTCTCCCAGGATTCTTTGCTGGAATGTCAGATCTGTTTCAATTACTACAGTCCTCGGCGCAGGCCCAAGTTGCTGGATTGCAAACACACCTGCTGCTCCGTGTGCCTCCAGCAGATGAGGACCAGCCAGAAGGACGTGAGATGTCCCTGGTGCCGGGGCATCACCAAGCTGCCCCCGGGCTTCTCAGTGTCACAGCTCCCCGATGACCCCGAGGTCCTGGCTGTCATCGCCATCCCACACACTTCCGAGCACACCCCAGTCTTCATCAAACTTCCGAGCAATGGGTGCTACATGCTGCCTCTGCCCATCTCCAAGGAGCGCACTCTACTGCCGGGCGACATGGGCTGCCGTCTGCTGCCTGGGAACCAGCAGAAGTCTGTCACAGTGGTGACCATCCCAGCTGAACAGCAGCCTCTGCAAGGTGGTCCCCCACAGGAGGTGGTGGAGGAGGAGCCAGACAGGCGGGGGGCTGTGAAAAGCTCCACCTGGTCCGGCGTGTGCACTGTGATCCTGGTGGCCTGTGTCTTGGTCTTCCTGCTGGGCATTGTACTGCACAACATGTCTTGTATCTCCAAGCGCTTCACTGTGATCTCCTGCGGCTGAACCCCAGGGCAGGGAAGGCTCTTGTGGGTGCCAACGTAGAGGTGGAGCAGGTGTTGGTGATGGGGATCCCAGTGAGATGGGGGAGGGGGTGACACTACTGACCGTTTGGTGCCAAGCGCTGGCCTCTGGGTTGCTACTTGATCCACCCGAAGGACAGACACAGAGGGTGGAAGGCGAGGTCTGAGCGAGGTGGCAGGCGAATTGCTGTGCGTGGATGGAGACGGCTTTGAAGATGATTGCATGCTTCCTCATAATCATGTATGAAATGGGCCTGTAATTTATGATTTCTCAAGATCACATTATGAGATAGACATATTCTACTTAGACATTAAACTATACGCGTGCATACAACAATCTCTAAATACAGTAGGTTAAAACGAAGATGCTGTGTATATGAGTAGAATTAAACCTCGAGTCCACATAGAAATTCAGTAAAGACATCCAGTGCTGGCTTCTTGGCCTTTTTCTTTCTTTCTTTTTTCTTCTATTTTATTTTCATGAAACTCAGTGTTCTTTTTGTTGCTAAGGCATTTTATACATTTTGAAGGACACCCAAATCAAAATAAGTAAAATGGATTGTGGTGATTTGAAGAAAACATTTGAACAAGTGTCTTGTCATGTACCTTGATTTCTCTTGCGATTAGAATTTGCTACTTGTTTATTCATCTGAAAGCAAACAAGGGAGCAATAAAGAAGAAATAATGAGAAATGTCTAATTCCACAAGAAACTTGTATGCCGATTTTCCTCAAGCCATCTCACAATTTAAAATGTAAATATTTGTGTATTTGTGTGTGTGTAGCGTGTGTGTAATTTGATTTACCTCAGGCTTTTGAGTCTTTTCAGAAGAACCCTGTGAGTCAGACCTCACAGGCACAAATAAGTTAAGCATCTGCAACATTGGCCACCCTGTGGACACCTGGATCTCTGTGTCCCTCCCCCGCCCCCCATGAGGGGCCTTGTTTGTCACCTCCAACACTCACCTTTGTTGTATGTTTTTATGTACTGTATTTCTAAGGCATAAATGGAGACTGTCAGAAGAGCTTGTCTTTTCTTCCAGTTTTGGGCTTTGTGAAGACTATGAATGGACGAGCATCTGAATTAGACAGATTGCTTTTTGAAAGATGTTTTCCTGTGAAAGTCAAACCTTTTAGAACTCCAATGTTCTCTTGAGATATAACCAAGAAAACCTTTTGTATTTCAAAATGTGGTGTTTTTTTTTTAATAGAGAAGAGTGGCAAGGTAAACAGCTCACGTTCCCATCAATGAGTCAGTTCCTTACGAATTGAAAATGTAACTACTGAAAATGTATAGTGGTCTATGGGTGCTCATGAAGAAAGATCTGTTAAAGGATAAATTCCTGTGAGGGGGCATTCAGGTGGGAGCTTTATACTTCTTTTCTAGTCCCCTTCATTGATTTCAGGAAGCAAGCCTTCCACTTAAATATGATTTTAAGTTCTGTTGAATCCCAGAAAATTGCAGGAACGTTTGGGGAGAAAGAAGAGAAAAATAAGAAGTGACAGATTTCAGAAAGTAAAGCTAGACAATATCCCTTTAAGATTGAGACAATTTAATTTACCTATTATATGCTAGCTGTTACCTTCAAGCAACATAAAAGTATATGCATACTAAACAGATGGAATTAATGTGAATAAATTGAAAAACTAATAACTAGAATACAAAGCTCACACTTAATTGGCATGAAAATTCAATGTAAAATTATGAACTCTGATTTCTCAAATCTTTCAAATTTGTCATAAAACCTTTAGAAAATGTATTTGAAAGCTCAAACTAGAAATTAGGTTACAGTGCCATTTTATTGTGTAAGCTATTGGGCATTATACAACAAATAAACTAGGATTTATTTGGTATTAATAATTTAGGTATACTATTAGCCGCATACTATCCTGTATTATGTAACACAATATGCTGTTGGGTTAGTGTCAGTTTCTCAAACTCCCAGGATGCTGTAATGCATGTCTGACCTAATTTCTATTTTTCTCGGAGGGAAAAAAAATACATAGAAATGTTGCATTGAAAATGCGACGTTTCAAATAGATTTTATCCTTACAGTTCTAAGCCATGGAATATTTAAATTAATTTGATGAGTGGAATCTGCATACATTCATGTACAGTGTGAAATGACCAAGCCTCTAGCATAGTCTGTGATAGAGTTGTGCTTGTTCAGTAGGCTATGTAGCCCCCACGGACACTAATGTGTGTGGTGATGCGGTGTCCTGTGTTTCTTAGTCCAAAGCTGTAGAGTAAAAAAACAAATGTCCATAGAACTGTTCACTTAAAACCAGCCATGTGCTGGAGCTACAGTGACCAGTGCAAAATTAATTGGCTCTCTGGTAGATTCTGGACCTTAAAATGAATAGTACCTACCCAAATCAGAATGTGTGTGTGTGTGTGTGTGTGTGTGTGTGTGTGTGTGTGTGTGTGTGTATTCAAGAAAAATTATTTACATTGTTAAATGAACTGTACCAGCAACTTGCATTCCCGCTCATTAGAGTGTGTGTGTGTGTGAAAGACCTACAAACCTTCCAGATAGAATTTTTATGTGTTAAACAATGTTTTAATGTTACCTGGTATTCATTGCCCTGGCCTCTTTGGAATTTCCTTGCAATGCTAACAACCTATATACTCCATACAATACGGCTGCCAGAATTTGTACTTGCCTATCCGTGAAAGGCCACAAGTGGAAAGCAGAGAAAGTTAGAGCTGAAAGCAACCTCTGGTGGCAGACATCAGTTTGGAAGTGAGTCCATGGGGCTGCAAAGGAGAGTGACAACTTGTAATTCTGCAGCAAAAGAATGCTAAAGGCCAGGCATTGCGATGCCCTCTTGCTCATTCCTGGATCTGTCACCATCCCTGCCTGATAAGTGATTCTTTTCAGGGTTGATGAATATCCTTTTTCATTCAACTATTGCTCTCCTGTTTGTTTTTGTAGGTTTATTTTCATTTTGGTTAGGAACTTCTCTGGGAAACAAAAGGAGGGTTGATTTAAGGATGAGCATAGATGATTGAAGAAACTTTTCAAACCATGTGATTTGAAGTTCTAAAAATTGCTAAACATTGGTTGGGTCCTCCTTCCTATGTGTAAAGGACAATGAATGTTGTATAAATAGTAACCCATAAGAAGCATGAATTTTCATCTTTATTAGTGATCTTGACAAACAAGTGAATGCTTAAATACGTTAAGTAGAGCCAAGTATGCCACCAAAAAAAAAAAAAAAAAAGCATTGTCTTTGGAAAATATCTGTATAGTTATCTGTGGTAAAAGTTACGATGAAAAGAGGCAAATTGATTCTGAGTTCTATTCACCTTTTATTATCAGAAAGCTCAAGGTATTCTCTTTACAAATAAATTTAATCTTATGCATGACTTACAGAGCGGGCCCACTGGAGGGTCAACTGTGTGCTAGTTACAGCCCATGGGATTTTCTAGATCAATGAGATTTTTCTAGATCAATATAATTTTCTAGATCAGTATGATTTCTAGATTGATGCTATTTGATAGAAACTTGAGAGATGATGAAAATGTTAAAAGTCGAATTGTCCCATGTGGCTAGTGACTACCATAGTGACCAGAGGCATCCAAATGTTCCTAAAATAGTGAAGTAGAGAGATTGTTTATGGGCTAGTAACACAGAGTTGGCAAAAAGAAAGCTCTTCCATTCTGGGCTTAAAAAGTGCGTCATCTTCAGTATGACAGTAAAAATGCATCTGCTGCCTTTGGAGTGGACCAAGGACGAGCAATAAAGCTTAAAGTGGGCTTTATTAAGTCCCTTTTCTGGAACCATAAGCTGCATGTGAATTTATTGACCAAAAATAGTTAGATTGTAGCTGTAAAATGTTTTAACTTGCAAGCTGTGCATGACCTGTGTTGTGAAATTGTGTTTAGGGTCTTGTGTCCAAAAAAGTGTTTCAGAAAAAAAAAAAGCCTATGAGTCCCCCTTCACTCCCAATGTCTTTCCTGAACTCCATTGCCACATTAGTAAGGTGTGAAATCTAAGAGCAAGCATGTTTTGCAGAGTTCAGAGTGTTTTTGTATTCTTGGGAAGTCTGACAGCTTGTCATTATATTTGATGTAGGAATCTGTGAATGTCAGTTTTCAGATGCCAGACTAAAGTGTGGATGCTATTTTTAGAATGGGATTTGACATTTTTTATTTTAGTTTTCACTAGTTTGCACCAAAGCACTTTTTAAGATTATCATTAAGCAGTTGTACAAAGGGGTTACAATTCCATAAACAAAAGCACCTTTTACATTTTGTTTTCTACAATTGGATGCATTGACAAATGGAATTGAAAGACTGGAAGAGTATTGAAGTTACTTGAATAGTTTTTTTTTTAATTGAGTAAAGGAAAGCAGGAAATTCAGTTTGAGATGAATTTCCACATAAAACTCAGACTCTTCCGGATAAGCTGATATTTATTCCAGTCTAGATAATTATCTGAAGAGTTCCCATTCTTGTATTTAAAACTTTGTGTCTCAGAATTGGTTAATTCGCTTTTGGTTATTTTCCATGTGTAATGTAAACCAAAGGCATTTGCTTTAATCTAGCAGACTTAGTTGTTTTTTGTTTTGTGTGTGTGTGTGTGTGTGTGTGTGTTTAATTCTAGAACTTGTGAGTGAACGCAACTGCTCCTCTAGATTTTTTGTCAAAGTGGCTGTTTTTCATTAGACTTAAGAAAATTTGAAAGCTCAAGGTTATTAGTGGACAGGAGTGATGTGCAAAACACTGTATTATGTATCTTCCCTTGGAAAAATGAGGCTACCGGCCAGGCAGCATTTTGTTTAAAGGATCAATCGGGCCATTTGTCATCCTTGACCTAGATGAAGAATCTGTTCCTTGACAATTCCATCTTTCCCAGCAAAATGTCACCCACAAGGTAATTCTTACCCAAACAGTTTCTACACCATACCAGAGCCAAGGAAATTTCATGACAGTTTTGAAGCTAAAAGTAAAATTTCAAATCAACAGTGATCAGTTGCTGAATTTTGTGAAACCGGAAACATTCTTGAAACCTAAGTAGAGAACTAGGGGCATGGCTCAAGTGGTAGAGGATTTGCAAAATAAGCACAAAGAAGGCTCCAAATTTCAACTCCAGTGCCAAGAAAGTGGATAATCAAGCATTAATTTTTTCCCTGACCTACTGTGCATGCACACATATATACACAATTTAGCTGGGAAAGGAGTGAGCTAGATGGTAAGAACCATCCTACTTTCTAACTTGCAGGGATTACACAATGTTGAATATAGAGGTTGAATTCCTATCTGTTGCTATGAGCTCCATACATAATGTTAGACTTTGGTAGTAAACTTTGTAGGTAAGCTTTTTAGATTTTGCCAGTGGGTGAAGAGGTGGGTTCTGCTGTGTTCATTTAGAAAGCATCTGTCACCAAGGCACATGAGCAGATGAGGCATTCAGTTTCTTACTGCTCAAGGGATCAGGGTAGTATGCCATGATTCTCCAGCTCTTCCAGTGTGGCTCCCATTTTTCTGCACAAATTTCTTTGTTCTCTGTAGCCAGTAGTCTTTGATTCACTGCCTGGGGAAATCCCACTGTGTCTCTCTCACTCACGATGTAGTGGTGCTTGAAAACATTCATCTTACTAGCTGGATTTTACTCTAGCTTAAGGTTTTTGATACTAATCTTATGATACTTCTAGGGACAATCAGTAATTAGTACAAAATACTGAGGGGCCTCCTCAGATTCCTGACAGCATGCTATTTTGTGTTTTGTTTTGCAGGGATGTTCATTTTTATCTTATTTCTAACCATACAGAATGCTGCTCTAGTTTGCAAGGCTAGTAATCCATGGCACAGTCTCCTGTCATCTCCCTGAGGTGTGAGTTATTTTGGGGTTATCCTACAAAGAGTTTTCCAAAGGAATGATTAATAAAAATGTCTGTAAGCACTTGTATAGTGGGGGTTCAGTTCCACAAATCAGTTTATAAGTACAATGCATCTCTTTTTAATGTTATGTTTTACTTCAGTAGTTGTACAAAGAGGTTGCAATTCCATAAGTCAGGTTATGAGTACAACGCTTCTTGATAGCTGTCACCCCTTTCACTGTTTGCCATCTTTCCCAACCCCACCCATGCCCTTCAGTTATAAGGTTTCATGTTCATGTGTGTTCATTGAATATAAGGGTAATGTGCTCACCCACCCTTCTCTAGTTCCCCTGTTCTCCACCATGCCCCAATAAAACATGTTTCAGCTTTCCGATGTCCATTTTGCTAAACTGTTAGTTGTTTAGAAGTTACACCACTAGAGGAATCGTCAATTTTTAATTTGACATTTGCCTTTTGGGAATCCAGAAGTAGGTGATTGGATGTGATGGTGGAGAGGAACTGTTGATATCTCTAAATAGTACGCAAAGCAGTAAGTACTCAATTGCTTTATATTGTTCTGGCTGGACTGGCTAAGATTCCACTCAACTGTTAAGAGGACTTTGTATGGGAAAAGTAGAGAAAAGGCCATGGATGTCTGGACAGACAGGTAGACAAACCCAGAGAAGAATAAAATACTTAGAGAAAGAAAGTCTGTGATAAGGATTGTAGCTGGGAAACAAAACAGGTACAAAAGGACATTGTGGACAGAAACCGGCTGAAGAAAGCAGCCGGGAGCAAGTGAGAGAGCTCAGTGCAGCGCGATCTGCGCTCTGGCCGGGATGACACATGCCGACGAGGACGACTCTACAGAGTGCACTCAGTTGATGCGAAGAATCCCACAGAGGCCCCTGTTTCCTGTCATCTTCTAAACTCTTGACCATTCAAGAGTATGCTAGACAATTCCAGAACCTTCTGTAGAGATGGTGGCTGAGTCAGTACAAAGGCCCGCGGTCCCCTTCGCGGTGGAATGCAGTGCTTCGCTCCATGGGTCTGTCTAGGCTTGAATTCCCTACCATTGATCATAGTTTCTATTTATCTATCCCACCACATGTTCATGTTCGCCTCACTGGACGGTTGCCATCGTGTGGAAGCTGGTTCCCGGTGGCTGCCACAGACTCACAACAGAAGCCGTGTAGCTGCCACCGGGGTCCCTTCCCCTCTTAGGTTCCACCAGTGTGTTCCCACGCCCTGGCTAACAAACTCTGGTCAAATAGCAAGATGCTGCTCAGAGGCCATTGACTCCAGTCCTTGACATGTTTCATTTACAGTTATGTGGATTATTTATTTTTAGGAGCTTTTAAAGGGCCAAATTGCCCTACAGATAAATGAACTGCCGGTCCATGTAGAAAAAAAAATACTGTCCAAATGTTGCCAAATATTGACTTTGTAAAGGGGATATTAAGCTGCTGTTTATTAATCTGAATGTCTTAAAAGCATTCTTGCTTGCTCTCTGTTATAGATGGTGTCTTAGCTAGTCCTGAGTTTTTCCAATGAACTCAATTTTAATATATGGTATTTTTGTATGCCAACTGGTGTCTTGTCCTTTGTATATGTGGTAATGTTAATTTTATGACTACTGTTAAAACACATTTGCTATGATTAAAATTCAAAATGATTTCAAGTAGACTCAGATGTTTTTCTTCCCTCCCCCTCCAACTGGCAAAGAAAAGTTAGCCTGAGATTTGTCACCATCAGTTACTCAATTGTAGTAGACTTGGGTATTAACGCCATAAGGAATTCCTGAGCCAGGGATTTTAGTAAAGGTGACTCTCAAATGACTCTGGAAAAGCCGAAGAGTGAATTCATAATGAATGAGTAAGCCCAAAGTTGTTTTTGCCACTTGGCTTCTTGTGGCTCCATCTTTGTCTTCCACTGTTCAGACATGACAAGTGTACCTCTGGCCCCAGATGGGCTGTTGAATTGTATTGCAGCCCCTGCCCTGGTCAAATTGCTCCTTTGATAAGTGCTCTCATGTGTAGCACAGAAGGTGTTTGGAGAACCCTTTCTGGCAACATGCATGAACCACTGGAACCACTGGATCATGCGAATTTCAGTTCCACTTAGTATCTTAATTGAGGGGTAATCAATGCTCTGATCTATGTATGTGCTAGTGTAAGCTTGCTCTGGTTCTGTATGGAAAATGTATTTTTAGATAATCCTTCTATCTCTGGAATGATTGTGTCAGTACATCCTGAGGGAGGGGGCAGAAGTCAAGCTTTGTATTATTAGTGAGTCAAGATTATTGAGAGCGCCAGGCGCTGGTGGCTCACGCCTGTAATCCTAGCTACTCAGGAGGCTGAGATCTGAGGATCGTGGTTCAAAGCCAGCCCGGGCAGGAGAGACCGTGAGACTCCTATCTCCAATAAACCACCAGAAAACCGGAAGTGGCGCTGTAGCTCAAGTGGTAGAGCGCTCGCCTTGAGCTGAAGAGCTGAGGGACAGCGCCCAGGCCCAGAGTTCAAGCCCCACGACCGACAAAAAAAAACAAAAAAGATTATTGAGAGCATCATTTATTTTTTACCTATTTTACAAATTCTAGTGTGCTTTTCCCTGGAGGCAAAGGTGGGAGTGGATAGCAATTCCTTCACTGGATTCACCTGCTCAGGCTCCAGCATGTCCATCAGCCAGAGAAGCCGGCGGGCAGGCGGCAGGGGTTGTTTAGGACAGGAAGTGCCTTTCTTGGCTCCTTTATGAATTGGCTCCCCAGGGCAGGGAGAGATGGTATCTTTGTCTTATCTGGACCTTAGCTGTATACTCATGGAGACTGGAGGCGGGGCCATGGGGAGCCTTCGTCTTGCCTAGGGACATCAGTGCTGGTGATCCCTTCCCGTGACACACTGGGTAGCACAAGTTCTCTGCCTCTGATGTAGGGCTGGGAGGTTCGGAGGCTGTTAACATTGGAGGTACGTAGGTTCAGAGAGTGAGTGTCACCAGGTCTAACATGTGCTGCGCCATACTGTCAATACGCGGGCGTGAGCGCACACACACATGCACACACACACCATTCAAAGGCCAGGAACATTTTTCTGAGACAAGTGCGTTATTTTTGTTAACACTTTCACTTCCAGTGTTAATTTCTGGAGAAGAAATCCCCTTTTCAATGTTAACTATCCTGAAGAGGCTGGGTAAATGGCAGATAGGGAGAAAGGGAGCCAGTTCTAGAATTAAGGCTGAGCCTCTGCTTTTCTTTTTATAGGTCTGAAAACTTCTACACAATTCTACTTGACCCAGAAAATGGTACAGCTGCAATCAGTTTCAGCTCCTCTCTCTCTCATCTCTCCCCCCAAAATCACTGCTCTGTCTCCATCTCTCTTCATGCCTCAGTGCTGAGTACATGATGATTTGTTTTCATCACTGTTTATTTGAGAAAAAAAAGTGTGTGTGTGTGTGTGTGTGTGTGTGTGTGTGTGTGTGTGTATGTTTGTGAGACTTACTTGGAAATCATGGCCTGCCCAAGTTAACACAGGAACCTCATAGGGGACAGGGATTATAGCTCAGTGGTACAAAGCTAACCTGGCATTCGCTTCTTCCAGATTTATTTGAGTGAAGAATGTCATTTTTGCATAATATCTGTTATTATCTAGTAGAACAGAGTTGGAGGAAGGAGGCTATTGGAATGTTGCAATTAAATATTGAATCACAAAATTGACTTACCCTAGTCATTTTTGCATTGAAGTCATCATGACAGCGTTGTACTAAACAAGACAAAAAACATACATGAAATTCTTAATCTGTATTAAAAGAGCTAGTGTGATGCATGTCTGTAATTTTGGCACTGGAGAGATGGATGTATGAGGATTGTGAATTTAAGGCCAGCCTGGGATACACAGAGAAATCTTGTCTCAAAACAAACCAAAGGTACAAAAACAAAACCATGAGCTTGTGTTTGCCTTCTCGTTTGAAAACAATGTCATGTAAACATGTAATAATCCAATTATGGTATGAGATTTGCCCTGGTAGGAGATTTGCATGTAAAATCATATACTATACACATTACCAGTGCTCCTCACAGGGACAAATTACAAGGCCAATATCTGCACACATTTGTTGAGCAATAAGGGTCGAGATGATTCACTCTGGAATGCATTGCATACATATCAGAGTGTAGTTTTGGAAAATTATAGTCTATCATTCATAAATATTCATTACTGCATCTTGTGGGGTTAAAAAACAACTCATAACAAACCAAATTGGTAATGAGGAGGAAAATTAACAATAATTTGCTATTAAGAAGCAAGAAGAGCAGCAATTAGGTAACATGATCAATTCAAAGCAGTTCTGATAGTAATTATCTTTTTCCTGAAGTTGTAGGGATTTCAACCATTTCCATGTGCACTTGTGCAACACAAGCTTGCAATGTGAGTGAAGCAATGAGTTAGAAAAATACTGAATTGAGCCAGGGGCCTGTGGTTCAGGTCTAGAGTCCCAGCTACTCAGAAATTGAGAGCTGAGGATTGTGATTTGAAGCCAGCCTGGGAAGACAGAGCTGATTCTTATTCCCAATTAGCCAGTAAAAATGCAGAAGTGGAGCTGTGGCATAAGTGGCAGAGCACCAGCTTTGATCATAAAAGCCATCTCTAATCTCTGTGAACTGCAAAAAACACAGATTTTTAACTTTAAAATGTCAAATTTAGAAAAACCATAGGAAGAAGTTGTAGCTCTTCCCCCACTTACTGCCCCACCCACCCCGCAGCAGAGGGCCACATTTAATGGATTAGATGAACAAAGGAATCTACAGACATGGACTAGACACAAACTAAAAAATAAATTTTCTATTCTTAGTAAAAATAGAACATCATTTCAATGGAAATATGAATTGCACAGGATGAAATCAATAGTTGTGATATTTACTTTCATATATACTCAACCTGTGCGTCTATAAATTTCTCTCTGTTTGAATTTACATTAAGCACATGATCTCTGGCATCTATTGGTTACATTCCTTCTTAAATGACAGCCCTCAGCCCTAATATTTAGCAGAACCATCATTTCCTAGCTCTGTGTCCAGAAATGGTCCAAATTTTATTCTATGTTATTCTGACTCAACCCTCACCCGCATGAAGGTAAAATTTACTTCCAAGTAAACCTGAGGTTTCAGCCAGTTCCTCCAGTCTGTTAACACCAAAGATATTTGTAGTTTTGATATGTATGGAGATGTGTGTGTGTGTGTGTGTCTGTCTGTCTGTTGTGTGCCTGTACTGCGGCCTGAACTCAGGGCCTGGTGCTGTCCCCTGAGCTTTATTGCTCAAGGATAGTGCTCTACCACTTGAACCAAAGTGCCACTTCTTGCTTTTTGCTGGTTAATTGGAGATAAGAGCCTCACAGACTTTGCCCAGGCTGGCTTTGAACCACAGTCCTCCAGATATCAGCCTCCTGAAGATTATGGATGTGAGTCACCTGCACTTGGAATTGGCTGTCAGTTTTTGGAATGACTTCTGCCTATATAAAATGGAAAATAATAATTGGCTTAAAAAATAGGACAGACTACATGTGTAAACTTTGAAGATATGCAGTGTTAGTGGTGGTAAGGTGACATGGGGGAAACTTCCTGCACGAGACTGAACCAGGTATGGGGTGCCATGGTCAGAGAGACACTGCCTCTATGCCTGGGGTCTGTCCCCAGAGACAGGCTATCCCTCCAGTGCACTGAGCACTGCATCCCCACAGCTCCACACTCCGTGAGCACTAAACCCAAATGAAAGCCTGCACATCACCTCATCTGCTGCGGAAAATTAAGAAACTTAAAGCTGCAGGTGCACTGTCAGTCTGGAATATTTCAGGTGGTTGGGACTCAGTGCTGAGCTCACCATTTTCTGTACTTAGATCCTACTTTTGTTCACTTTTCCTTCCTGCCCATCAAACCCATTTTAATGAGCTGTTCCTGTTCAGCTATCTTCCTGCAATGAAGTCATATCCTCTTCCTGACAATGATGCTCAGGTCTGATGAGCTGATGAGCTTGTTAAAAAGAATGAACTAATGTCAAGATCCATGACTCAGCTGGGCATTGGTGGCTCACATCTGTAACCCTAGTTATTTCAGGAGTCTAAGATCTGTGGATAACTGTTCAAAGCCAGTCCAGGCAGAAGAACCCATGAGATGCCTATCTCCAATTAACCAGCAAAAAGTCAAAGGTGGAAGTGTCATTCAAGAGGTACAGTAGCAGCATGGAGTGCAAAAGCCAAGGGAACACATGAGGCCACAAGTTCAAGTACCAGAACATGTATACATCCACACAATTTATGACTTCTCCCTTTCATTACCCACAAATGCCAAATCTTCCTGCAGTCCACGGATTTGAAGACCTCACATCCGATTCTGTCATTCTGTTGGAGTCTGTTATGGCATGTGTGGTGGGGGTCAAAATGGAGGGTGCAGAGCCTGGGCTAGCGTGAGGCAGCTAGGGCACTGAGATGGACATTTTCAGGGGATTTTCACCCTCTCCCTTTCCTCATCCTGGTTCTCACCCTAGCAGGGGGACAGGAGGACATGCTGGTCCCCTCAACAACTGCCAGCAGACTTCCATACCTTATAAACACTCCATGTCTATGTGCCAAAGAATAAAGTAATCCAAGTTGCAAGGTGATAGATTAAATTCCCAGAGACCCAAAAGAGAAAAACAT